CGTTTCGCGGCTCCGGGAGGTGACGGGGCTGGGGGCGGGGCCTCGCGCGCGCCCCGCCCACCGCCGCTGCCGATTGGCCGCTCCCGGGGCGGGGTTGGCGGGCCGCTCGCTGATTGGTGGCCGCGCCGGAAAGGCGGGGCCGGCGGGCGGCGGCGGCGGCGCCATGGTGAGTGCGGGCCCGGCCCGGAGCGGCGCGGGAGGGAGGGTGGCTGGCTGGGTTTGTCGGTCCCTGCTCGGCACCGGGGGCTTGGGCTGAACCGCGGCCCGGAGCCCTCGCGAGGCTCCCTGGCTGCCGCCTCTGCGGAGAGAGCGGGCCCGGCCGCCTCCCGGGAGCGGCCCTTGGGGTGCGGTGTTACCTGGCCGGGGGAGCTCCCGCGGCCCGGCCCGGCCCGGCCCGGCCCGGCCCGGCCCGGCCCGGCACGGCCGCCCGCGCTGGCGCATCCGCCGCGGTCTCCTCCCCGCGGTGCCCTGCCCCTTTGCCCGGTCGCGGCAGCAGCCGCAGGTGCCCTGAGGCGCTCCGGCACAGGCGCTGCCGGGGATCCCGCGCTGCCTCTCCCTTTGCAGGCCACAGCGACGGACCAGCTGGTTGGGTTCGGCTTGGTCGCCTTCAGCCTCGTCCTCTTCGTTTACTACACCCTCTGGATCATCGTACTGGTACGGCTTCCTCTGGCCAATGTAATCCCAGTCACGCCATACTCAGGTGTTTCCCCGGCCTTTGTTCAGGTGATGATGTGTCTGTGTGCCCGAAGGGCTCTTGCCTTTGGGTTAAAAATTTCAGGGCAGGTCTTCCTCTGTGCGCTGGCACTGTCCTTATCCCATCTGGGTGTTCCTGGCCTTGCCTGGGCAGCACCAAACATTGATCGTGGTGCCCACCTGCTGTTCCAAGATGGGCTGATGAGCCAGGGCTGGATGAGCCATTGGGAAGAGCTGAAGCCTGGCCCTGATGGAGGTGTAGTCATCAATGTTCACATTTGCATCCCCCAGATTCCTGGTTCTGGTGGGAGATGACAGAGGAAAACATAGAAAGAGACAAATCTTACCAAATCTGTAAGGGAAGAGAAGAGTTTAGGGAATGCAGGGCTCTGGGAAAGTGATTGTGAGGCTGCCCAGTTCTGGAGACACATCAGCTGAGGTCATTAGTGATTTTCTCCCTGGAAAGAACCTTCTCCCCATGAGCTTTCCAGGTGTGAGAGGCCAGGTTCAGTCTGAACTCCCAGCAGCTTCCCCTCCAACTCCAAGCGATTTGAATTCCCCTTTCGCATCTGCTCGCTCTGCTGCCCCGTCCATATCTGTGCTCCCGGCATTCCCAGAGCTGCAGGAGCATTGGCTGCTGTTGGGAATCCTCACAGTGCTCCCTAGCGTCCAGAGCCTTCTACTGGCCTCTGCAGAGCGATCCTGCTGGGATAACCACGGAGCAGAGCCGGTGGCAGCTGCTCCTTTCTGCAGGGACAGAGGGATTTGCTGTATTGTGCACCAGCAGCTCTGCCCACCCCGAGCCCCCGGGGCTGTGGGACCCTGTGCCAGCCCCATAGCCCCCCCCCATTATCCACTGAACACCAAAACCTTCATTTTGTCTCTGTGGCCGAGCCACCTGCAGCTCTGGGCACCCTTTTTTAGCCATCTCACAGCAGGTATTTCCATGTTTCTCCCAAAACCTCGAGGCTGCACTCGAGGTGTTGTGCCCACCTGTTGACACCCCTCTGTGTCCCTGCAGCCCTTCATCGACAGTGACCATGGGATCCACCAGTATTTCCTGCCTCGGGAATATGCAGTTATCATCCCTGTGGCAGCCGGGCTCCTGCTGCTGCTATTTATAGGTGAGAGTTATTGCTGTGGTTCTAATTAGAAACTTCTAAATTAGGAATAGAGAAGAGGGTTGCTACTGGTTTAGCTAACGTGTGACACTTACACTCTCTGTGGTTACTGTTGCAGCTTCGCCTGGCACAGGGACTTGGGGCTGCTTGTGATTTTTGGCTGTTTGAGCCTCTGGACAGAAGAATTGTCTTTCTCTCTCTGCTGAGATTCCGTTTCTCATTGCCAGGTGTTGTAGAAGGGCCTGGAATTAAGTTTCCTACCTCAATTGGTTCTCTCTCTCTTGGCAGGTGTTTTTATAATGTTTGTCATGTGGAAGAGCAGGAAACATGCCAAGAAATCAGACTGAAGGCCTGGCTGAGGAGATGAAGAGGTGCCCACGCTGCAGCATCATAGCCAGGAAAAGACTTTTCCTGCAGCTCCAGGCAGACATCTCCAAGGTGCCCAGCACTGAGCTGCTCCCACGTTCCCTCCTGCAGAGACTAAACCTGTAGTTTACAATTCACTGACCAAAGAGAAGCAGGATTCATCCAAGGCTCATCAAGCGAGGGACCAGAGCCCCTGCTGAGGGACCTGCTCCCCAGCTGGGGCTGCCCTGCCCACTCTGGGCACTCCTTCCCCTCAGCTCTGGCTCAGCCCAGTAGTTGTTCCTTCTGGGAATTTTATTTAAAAGTTTACCTACAGTTTGTGGGATTTTTTTCATTCTAGTATGAAAGGTGAGAAATGAGACTTTGGGCTTGCTAAGGGCAGGTTTTCCTTCTCCATTTGCTTCTGGAAAGACTAATCACAGTGCTGGGGGCTCTTGCCCTTCTGAAGAGGGACTCCCATGAGGCTGGGTATGCAGAGGGAGCAGGGACAGTGCTGCCCCATGTCCCACCCAGCTGAGGGGGTGGCGAGAAATTGTCCTGGATCACAGGGAAGTGCTGGGTGTGGTTCCCATCACAGCTCTCAGTCCTGGCTGGATTCCTGCCCTGGACGAGGCTCCATGTGCCAGCCAGGCTGGGGCTGAGCAGGCAGGTGTGGAGGCAGTGTCCTGTCCCCGGGGTTTTTCCTCTCCTGGCAGCAGCTGCTGCCCTGGCAGCTCCCCTGGAGCACAGCAAGCAGCATCACCCTCAATAAACGTCTGTAAGTCTCGCTCCCTGTCCTCTGCCCATGCCACAGGGTGCCACAAGCCTGCCAGGGTGGGTTCAGCTGCATGGCCTGGGCAGTGCATGACATCCTGCTGAAAAGGTCCTGCTGGTGAGGTCAGGCAGGGAAGCACCAGAGACAACCTGGCCAGACTTTGTGCTGCCTCTGCCATTCTTGGGGATGCTGTACCCTGCCTGGGGAGGGCAGATTTAGGGCACTCTAACCCTTCATGCATGTACTGTGAATTTCCTGCCAGCAGCATGCCCCACAGCCTCCCATCCTGCCTGGGGTGATGCTGGTGGCTTGAGAACACCCCGAGGGCCACAGCTGAGCCTGGCTGCAGGAGCCAGCAGAGGGTCCAGAGGTGAGGCTCTGGCTGCAGGTTTGTTTCCAGCTCTTGCAGAGGCTGCCAGGCCATGCTGAGCTGTCAAATTCCCTGCTGCTCGCCTGCTGGCCGGGGCTCAGCCCACCCTACAAGGGTGGTTCTGGGCTGGGGCAGAAGGAATCAGAGGGTGGAAGAATTCAGTGGTGACTGAGCAGCTGCCGGTGTGACCGCCCCCTCCAGCCTTGCTTCCTGTGCAGGAGCCCAGTGGTGTCCCTGTCATTTCCTCTCCGTTTTCAGGCCTGTTCGGGACAGTGTGGGGGATTGGTTTCAAGGTTACATCTCATGTTTCTTAATCTCCAGTGGAAGAAATCCAGTGCCCCCCCTGCCCCGGGCCAGCGGGCAGCTCGCTCTGGGGACACTTCCCATGGGTGCTCCGGCTTGGCCCTGGCAGGACGGGCTGCAGGTGATGGGGGCAGCCCCTGGGGCCATTCGATGGGGTCTGGGGTGCCAGGGTGTCCCCTGCCCTGGTCCCGGTCCTGAGCCGTTCGGGACCCTCGCGGTGTCCCTGGGCTCATCGGGAGCTGCTGCTGCCCGGAGGGGACAGGGGGGCTGCAGAGCTGAGGGAGCCTGAGAGGGCAGAGCCAGAGGGGGAAGGAGCCGTGGGGTCGCTCCCGAGGCACAGGGCAGGGAGAGAGGCGGGGATCGGTGCCGGGACACAGGAGCTGGGCGCGGGGCCGGTCCCGGTGCGCGGGCACGAGCCCGCGGGCGGGCGCGCTCCCGGGGAAGCGGGGTCGCGGGGCGGGGCGGGCGGCCGGGGGCGGTCCCGGTGCCGGTTCCGGCCGTGCCCGCTCGGCTCCGCCCCGCCGCGGCCCACCGGCCGCACTCCGGGCGGGATGCGGGACCCGCCGGTGGCTCCCGGCTCGGTGAGTGGGGCCAGCACCGGGAACCGGGGACGCCGCGGCCCCTGCCCGGCCGGGCGGCACCCGCGGAGGCACGGGGGGAGCTGGACTGCACATGTGGGGGACCCCGGGGAACGGGAATGAGAGTGCGTGGGGGGATCCCGGTAGCGGCCTCGGGGAAGTCCCGGCACGAGGCGTGGCGGGGATCCCGCTAGGCGACCTCGCCCCGCTGAGCCCGCTCCGCTTGCAGGGTGCGAGCCCCCAGCCTCCCGGTGACCCCCGGACCCCGCCCGGGGGCTCGCCAGCCCCCCGAGGATGAAGATGCTGGTGAGTACCGCTGGGGCCGGGCGAGGGGCCGGAGGGGCTGAGCCCGGTGCCCGCGGGCGGCACGGAGCCCGTAGGGCGTGCGAGCATCGCCGCTGCAGGGAGCGAGCCGGGCCCGGCACCGCTCCGCCAGCACACCTCAACACCCTCCGAGGGGAAACTCCCTCTTGGCCACGGGGCCACCGGCATCCGGCGCGGGGCCGGTGCACGGGGACAGGCCCGGAGAGCTCCCCCCGCTCTGCTTCCAGGTCCGGCTCTTCCTGACGCTGGTGTGCGCGGTGGTGGCCGCCGTGCTGTACATCCTGCTCTGCTACCACGGGCAGCCCTGCTGCTCGGCCCCGGGGCTGCGGGACAGCCCCACCGCCTCCAGCGTCCGCAGCTTCCAGGGCTACAGCCGCGTTCCCGACGGGAAGGTGCGTGGGGATGCGGCAGCGCTGGGACCGGTGGGGCGGCTCGGCCCACCTGTGCCTCAGTTTCCCTGTCCTTTGGGAAGGGCAGGAAGGGGCTGAGGTGTATCCAGCTGCTGCGGGAGGGAAGGAGGAGCTGACGGCGTGTCTCCCCACAGCCGCTGGAGCGAGCGCTGTGCCGCCACTGCGCCATCGTCTCCAGCTCGGGGCAGATGCTGGGCTCGCAGCTGGGACGGGCCATCGACGGGCAGGAGTGCGTCCTGCGCATGAACCATGCCCCCACCAGCGGCTACGAGCAGGACGTGGGGGCACGCAGCACCATCCGGGTGGTCTCGCACACCAGCGTTCCGCTGCTGCTGGGCAACCAGCCCTACTTCTTCCAGCAGTCACAAGAGACCCTTTACTTTATCTGGGGGCCGGCAAAAAAGATGAACAGGGAGAAGATGGGCTCAACCTACCAGGCGCTGGTCAAGGTGATGGAGAAATACCCCCAGCTGCAGATCTATACCCTGACGGAGGAGAAGATGACATACTGTGACAATATCTTCCAGAATGAGACAGGGAAGAACAGGTACTGCTGGCTCCTGAGGAGGCCCATCACGTACCACCTGTCCCCACATTGAGTACCCATAGTGTGGGAGGGCCAGCAGCACAGTGCCACCCACTCCAGTGTGACCACCATGCTTTGCAGGATGAAATCCGGCTCCTTCCTGAGCACGGGCTGGTTCACCATGATCCTGGCCATGGAGCTGTGCGAGCAGATCTGTGTCTTTGGCATGGTCAGCGACAGCTACTGCAGGTGTGGGGGGTGGCTGGGCAGATGTGGGGTGGTCCGGTGTCCCCCCCAAGTCTCACACTCGCCCTGTCCCCTCCTGCCAGGGAAAAGAACCACTCCAGCGTGCCGTACCACTACTTTGAGAAGGGCCGGCTGGACGAGTGCAAGATGTACCTGATGCACGAGCAAGCTCGCCGTGCTGGGCACCGCTTCATCACCGAGAAAGCCATCTTCTCCCGCTGGGCCAAGAGGAGGAACATTGTCTTCAACCACCCATCCTGGGCGGGCAGGTAGAGCGCCAGCCACAGGGTGAGGCAGCAAGAACCTCAGCGGCCGGGCAGCTTCCATCCTGCAGCAACATGTCTTAGCTCTGCCAGTGGCATGGTTGGACACCTTTTGCCAAGACCTGGAGCAGGGAGTCTCCATCTCTGCAGCAGCACTGCCTGTTTCCCCAGCTGGTGGATGAGAACCCCCTGTTGATATATGGGGAGCATGAGCTGGACCCATGCAGTCCCACCAGCTCCAAACACCTGCCTGGATGGACCCAGGGAGACCTGGTTTTCTGCTCTCTCTACTAGGAGGAATATTTAGTGCAGGATTAGACATTCTGCTGGACTCCAGCAGGACATGGGGCAGAAATGCTCAGCCCCACCAGGGCCACAGACTGGTGCCTCTCACAGGGACGAAGCTCTACTGTAGTCCTCGTCCTAGTTGTTGCCCTCTGGACAGTGCTGGGTGTGGGGTGCAGGCAGCTGGATCCAGGCTCTGCCTTCTGCTGCTTGGTGCCTGCATCCCCTCAACTGGGAAGCCCTGGAGCCACATGTGCCCTAGGGACTGTGAGTTGCCTTGTCACAAGTGTCCTTGAATTCAGACCAAAGTAAATGTGGCCATTAAAATTGTTTTTAATTCAGTGGTGCCCCTTGCTGTGCCCCTTGTGGCTGTAGGACAGGACAAGGAGTGAGGGAGGGGGGATACTCAACACCTTATGACAGGCTGCCAGGCTATAAATAATTGGGAGGTGACAAGTGGGTAGAGCTGAGCCTAAACATGAAAGAGGGTGCTGAAAGCAGTTGAGGTTATTTGGGAACCAGCAGCTGCATCTACGTAGGATGGGTGCTGGGTCTGGCGTGATCCTCAGTCCCACAGGGCTCAGTGCTGCTGGGCTGTCACACAGCACTGGCAGCTCCCATGTCCCTGGAGAGATGGGACATGCCATGGGCAAGTGCGTGGCCCTGAGCCCACAGCAGTCCTTTGAACATATAAACACGTGCCACATGTTTGGGTGGGTCTGGTGCTGTCTCAGGGATGAGAGGAGGAGCAGAGATGCTGGGGCACAGTGAGGAGCGAGTGGTCCAAGACCTGGGGGTGCTGCAGTGTAGCTCAGCAGAGGAGCCCAAGGAACTCTGCCTGCTGTCTCATCTTCCACAGCCCTACGCAGGGCAAGGCATCACCGGCACAGCGGAGCCAGAATCGCTCTGGACAGGCGTCAGGGATGCAGGTCCCTGCCGGCGGTGGAGCTCTTCCCCAGAGCGGGCCCCGAGCTGCCGGGCCAGCGCGGGGGAGAGCTCGGCATGCCAGCAATGCGGCGTGCTGCTCCTGGCACAGCGGGCAGGCTGGCCCCGGGCCCCTGTCCGCACCGGGCACCGGGGGATCAGTCCCGGTCTTTCCGGCGGCTCTCCCGGTCCGGGAGGGCGGCACTAGGATCTGGCGGCTCTCCCGGTCCGGGAGGGCGGCACTGGGATCCGGCGGCTCTCCCGATCCGGGAGGGTGGCACTGGGATCCGGCGGCTCTCTCGGTCCGGGATGGCGGCACTGGGATCCGGCGGCTCTCTCGGTCCGGGAGGGCGGCACTGGGATCTGGCGGCTCTCGGTCCGCGAGGGCGGCACTAGGATCCGGCGGCTCTCCCGGTCCGGGAGGGCGGCACTAGGATCCGGCGGCTCTCCCGGTCCGGGAGGGCGGCACTAGGATCCGGCGGCTCTCTCGGTGCGGGGAGGCGGCGCTAGGACCCGGCGGTGCTCCCCCACCCCGGGAGGGCGGCACTAGGACCCGGCCTGGGCGGGGGCAGCGGTTTCGGTAACGACAGCGGTAACGGTACCGGCATCGGCAGCGGTATCGATATCGGCAGCGGTACCGGGGCGCACTGCGGGCCGGAGCGGTCGGTGGACCTCCCCGCCGGGCCCGTTCAGCCGGTGCAGGGGCGGAACGCGCCGTGGCCGGGCGGGGAAGCGGCCCCTGCCCCCGGGGCCGGCGCAGAGGGATGGAGGGGTGGGAAGGGTCCGGCTCCCCCCCGTGTCGCCGCGGCCGCTGCCGGTGGCGGGGGGATGCTCCCCGGGGCGCGGGAGGACTCGCGCGTAGGAGCGGCGGGAGGTTCGCACCCCGGGCCGGGCGGGTTTTCCGTTCCCGGAGGGCGGCACGGTTCGCATCCGGGGCTGGGAGATCCCCGGCGGAGGAGGGGGGGTCTGAAGCAGCCTTCTCCCGCAGAGCGGCGATGTGAGCCCCGGTGCCGGCCATGGCCGAGCCCGCTGCAGGGGCCGGGCAGCGCCCGCCGCCCGCGGGGCGCAGGAGGTGGCGGACTCCATGAGAGCCCCCGGCAGGTGAGGCTCCCTGTGCCCCCACATGGCCCGAGACTGTGGAGGGAGCCAGGAGGGGTCCGGGAGCGGGGGTCCCACCGCGTCCCCAGCCCTCGCACGGTGAAGCCCCTCAGCATCACCACGCCGGGCATGGCCTGGGCGCCCCGGGCAGGCTGGCACCTTCTGGCACCACCCCCGGGCCTGGGAGCGTTTCGAGGTGTCAGCTCCCCCCAGGGGTAGATCTCAAGCTGTTGCATAATTTTCCTTGTGACAATTAGTAAAGAGGCTTCAGTGGTTTTTAATTTCCATTTGCTTGGAGCGCTCCGGGAATGGCTGGGGCTCATTAACCAGGGCTCCCAAAACTAAATTGGGTCAGTCCACTTTGAGTGGAAATTCGAGTGGGTTCTGGGGCTGGAGAGATCCCTGCAACCCTGCTGGATGCAATCCCATGCATGCACTGAGTGGGTTAGGTCTCATTTCCTTCCATTCCCTCTTGATCCAAGGCTTCTGTGGCGGTGGTTTTAATGGAATTTCTCTGCACGTGCAGCAGGTTGACCCTCCCTAACCCTGCGGTTTGAGTGGTTTCATCCCCACGAGGGGAGGATAATCCTCCCTGGACCCGGTTTAACGTGGGGATTCCCCAGGCATAAGTTGCGGCTGGGTTTGGCTGTTCCACACCCCGGAGTCTGCCCAGCCTCTGTCAACAGCATTTCTTTTCCCCTCATAAATTCCGGGGGAATGTTCTCATCTTCAGAGGGGGACCTGGAGACTCATCCCGTGTACCCTGGCAGCCTGGGGGCGATGGGCCAGGCTGGGGGTGACCACATGCCTTGCAGGTGCTCGCGGGACGATCGCTGTGTGCTGAGGCTGGCACGGAGACATGAGTGGCAGCACGGTGAGTGCCAGAAAATCACCTCGGGGACCACCTGGGGACAGCAGGCATCCTGCTGGAGATGCCTTGGGAGTGGGGTGGATGCCGACCCCCGTGGGGTGGGGGCAGCGGCTGATGCTCTCCCCCCGCCCGCAGAGCCAGCGCGCCGCCGCCCTGGGGGTCCTCTTTGCCCTGATCATGTTGCTGATCATCTACAGCTCCGGCAACGGGAGCGAGGTCTTCCCCTACAGCCGCCTGCGGGGCAGAGCCCGCCGGCCCCCCGACCTCAAGAAGTGGGGGGTGAGAAGCGGGTACCTGCCTGTCTGCGGGAACAAGGTACGGGCTGGGCAGCAGGGCCGGGCCTGGGCGGTGACACAGGGTCTGTCCCTCTGCTGGCACCCAGCCAAACTGTCCCCTCCCGAGGACAGTGGCAGGGAACAGTACCCTGTCCACGGAGACACCAAAAGTCACCTGCTGACGGCACTTGTCATCACCAGACCCTGACTGCCCGCTGCCACCAATGCGTCATTGTCACCAGCTCCAGCCACCTCCTGGGCACCCACCTGGGCACGGCCATCGACGGGGCTGAGTGCACCATCCGCATGAACGATGCTCCCACCACGGGCTACAGTGCTGATGTGGGCAACAAGACCAGCTTCCGCGTGGTGGCCCACTCCAGCCTCTACCGTGTCCTCAAGCGGCCCCAAGAGTTCGTCAACAAGACCCCGGAGACCATCTTCATCTTCTGGGGGCCGCCCACCAAGATGCAGAAGAGCCTCCTGAAGATCATCCAGCGCGTTTGCGCCTCGTTCCCCAACATGACAGCCTACGTTGTCTCCCCCGGCCGCATGAAGCAGTTTGATGACTTGTTTCGGGGAGAGACAGGGAAGGACAGGTACCTCAGAGCCGCCTCTTTTGCTGTGTCCCCCTTTCTCCAGGTTCCCAAGACACAGCTGACTCTTGGAGCTGCTTCACGGGCTGCAGCATTAAGCTGGGGGTCCATGAGGCACGCTGGGGACACTAAGGGGGTCCTTTATCCACATCACCTCCCCCCGTCATCCTTCCTGTTGTTTTTGCTCCCCAGGGAGAAGTCTCGCTCGTGGCTCAGCACTGGCTGGTTCACCATGGTGATCGCGGTGGAGCTGTGCGACGCCATCCACGTCTATGGCATGGTGCCACCCAGCTACTGCGGGTGAGGAGACCCCCAGGCGCCCACCCCAGCGCCCTGACCCCACCATGGGGCTCACCCAGTGTTTCTTTCCCCACTGCAGCCGCCACCCCCCGCCCCGCCGCCTGCCCTACCACTACTACGAACCCAAGGGCCCCGACGAGTGCACAACCTACATCCACAACGAGCGGAGCCGCCGGGGCAACCACCACCGCTTCATCACCGAGAAGAGGGTCTTTGCCAGCTGGGCCAACCTCTACAACATCACCTTCTCCCACCCCACCTGGACCTAGGGGCTGCCCCATGCCTGCTGGGCAGACCCCTGCAGCTGGGATGGATGGGGGCTCCCCTGCATCCCCCTGGGAGTGGTGGGATCCTGGCATCAGGTGCCACCAACTACCTCCCACAGGACCACTGCTGTTGTGCGTGGTGGCTCCTTGCACCTGGGATGTGGTGGGGTTTGAGCTGGTATTTGGGGACCAGGTGATGAATGTAAGATATGGGGTGTCCCCCCTCCGTGTGCAGGATACTTGGCCATGATATCCTGCCCCATCCTGGTCCGTGCACATTGCAGCCCCTGTGAGGCTATAGGGGGGTTCCAGGACTCCTCGGCTCCGTTTTGGTTTGCACCACTTCTGAGGTCACCACAGAGACTCTTCCCCCCAGCAGTCTGGGTGAGGAGACCCCCTTTTGGAGCTCAGCCCCCCCAGCCCCTCATCCCAGTCCTCAGTCATCCTTCCCACAGCAGAACCCCACAGTTTTTGGTGGGACCCCATGGGGGTGACATTATCACCCTCCCTGTCCCAGAACCCCAGAAACACCAGCCCCTCCCAGCACCACTGCGCCCCACACTGCCAGAACCCTTTCTAACTGAAAGATGGGATTTTTGGGAGCTTTTTGGGGGTTTTGGGTTTTTTTCTCCCTGCTTCTAATCCTGGGGTTTCTACTTGGGTTTCCTGGACAAAGGAGTCAGCAGGGGCTGCTCATTATTGGAAACAAAGGGCCAGTAGCTGCCTATAAACAATTTAAAAGTGGGCAGGTAGTGGGGGGCAGTGGTGCCTCTTGGCACCCTCTGGCTGGGACAGGACTTTGTTACTAATTTCTCAGCAGCAGAGAAGTTGATCTGGGGAAAGCACCCAAATATGGTGTGTTTGGGAGCTGAGCCTTGGCAGGAATCCATTCCTCAGTTTCCCTCTGGCTGTGGCTGGGGTTTTGAGGGGCTCAGTGCTGGGGGAAGCAGTGGGGCATCCATGTTTTGTAATTGTTTGTACAGGAATAAATATTGCTGCAGTCTGTTACCTTGAGCCTGGCTCTGGAGGGGTTTTTGGGGATGATGGCAGTGACCCCCAGCAATACTGTCCCTGGGCACACAGGAGGGTGCTGCAAGGTGGCAGCATGTCCAGGTGGGATCCATGTCCAGTCCCTGGCTGACTCCAGCTCTGGCAGTGACAGAGCTTGTGTCCCCCTCAGCCAGGTGCCCTGGGGTCACAGGGTCTCTGCAGTCCCAGAGGAGGAGGAAGGGCAGGTAAGTGCGAGGACTGGGAGATCACCGTTGCCTGTCACAGCCTGGTGCCACAGAAGGACGTTGCCATGAGATGGGCACAGAAGGGAGCAGCACGATGGCACTGGCGCTGGGCCTGGCACATCAGGCAAGCTGTGGAGGGGCAGCTGCTCATACACATGGCACTGCTCAAACATCACCCCAACTCATGGGATAGACAGCATCTACAACCACCCAAGCCCCTCTTCCCCCTGCTGGATTCGTAAGAGGAATTTGAGATAAAATAAAGGTGGTACTATTGCCAAAGCATTATCTCAGATTAGGGGTGGTAAACAAAACTGTGGGAGAAGAATGTGTCACTGATAATGATACAAAGAATCCACAAGGAAAGCCAGCCAGGTAACTGGTGGATGGGATCTGCTCCAGCTGGGTAGAAGGTAATTCTGGCAGGGGGGAGAGCGAAACCATGGACTCAGTGGAAGAGAGACAGCGTGGGATTAATAACATTAGAAGAGAGGGAATCCTCTAACCAATGGAATAAAGGAACTGTGTAGCCAATGAGCATTAATGTCTTCATTGCAAAAATGTATAAATAGTGAGAAGTTTTCAACAACCTTGGGACCCTCATCACGACCAGGGTGAAGAAGGACCAACATGATGCTGTGGGATCCACAGATGGTGACAATATTCTGCTTGACCAATCTCTCTCTCTCCCCCACACACGCAGTCCCTCTTTTCTATTTCTTTCTCTACCTCATATTTTATTGTTAAATAAAATCTGTACTATTGGGCTTGGAATTCGGCATCTCTCACTGAGCAGATGTGAACAAGGACACAACGCTCCCGGGGTTTTTACACCCCTGGAGCTGAGGGAGAGGGGGTGTAAGCTGGAGGGTGGGGGCATGGGGACATAGGGATGGGATGGGGACATAAGGACATTAGGGACAAGGATCGTGACAGAAGGGATGGGAATGGGGACACGGGGATTGGATGGGGACATTAGGGATGGACACAGGGATGGGATGGGGGCTTGATATTAGGGACAGGGATGGGGACTCGAGAACGGGATGGGGGCAGAAAAGGGAAGGTGACACATGGACAGTGACGCAAACAGCATTCCCCTCCGAGGAGCTGGGGGCGGAGGCGCCCCGGAGACCCCAGACCGGGCAGGGTGGGGGCTGCCCTCGCCGGCGGGCCCGGACCCCCCGAGCCTGCAGGGCCGAACCGCGTCCTCCCCGCCGTGTCCCCGCCGCGTCCCCGCCGTGTCCCCGCCGTGTCCCCGCCGTGTCCCCGCCGTGCCACCGCCGTGTCCCCGCCGTGCCACCGCCGTGTCCCCGCCGTGTCCCCGCCGTGCCACCGCCGTGTCCCCTCCGTGCCGCACTCCCGTCCCCGCCGCGCCGCCCGCTCGCGCCGCCGGTGCCGCGCGCTCCCGGCGTGCCCCGCGCGCCGCCGTGCTCTATAAATAGCGGTACCGGCGGGCCGGGCGGCGGGGCCGGGCCGTGCGGGACCCGCGGGGCCAGGTCGGTGCGGGACGCGGGGGTCGGTGCGGTGCGGTGCGGTGCGGTGCGGTGCGGTGCGGTGCGGTGCGGTGCGGTGCGGGGACACGGGGGTTGGTGCGGATCGGGTCGGGTCAGTGCGGGACACGGGACCCCGGTCAGTGCGGGGCCCGGGGCAGCGCGGGGCGCTTTGCTGGGCGCTTGCGAGGGATGGCGGGGGCACCGCAGGGGCGCTGGAGCCGCCCGGTGCGGGGGCTCGGGTCCCGGGGAGCGGCTGCTGGCTGCCGGTGCAGTGGGAGGGGTGGGCTGGAGCTGGCGCTGGGCTGAGGTCGCGGGGGCACCCCGGGGTGCAGCCCCCGATGCTTTGGCTGGGGGGTCACAAGGCCGCCCTGCAGCCCCTCCCCAGCCCCGACCCCAGCGCAGCCCCATCTCCCCCGGCCGCTCGCCGGCGCATCCCCCGCACCGGCACCGGCACCGCATTGGGTCAGGCACCCAGCCCGCAGCCCCGTCACCCCACCAGCACTGGCGCCAGCTGTCCTGGGTGTCAGCACCCCCGCAGTTAGGGACCCGGGGGTCCTGCCTTCCCCACGCCCCGTGGGGGACATCTCGGGACTTTGTCCCCGCAGCGCTGGTGGGATGTGACCCGGTGCCGGTTTCAGTCCGGCCATTCTTAGCCGCTGCCCTTTCGAGGCTGTAACACGACCTGTCAGCGGCTGCGGGCTCCTCTGGCCACGGGATGCCCCCTCCCTGCACCCCGTCCAGCCGGTTCGGGGTGACGCACCGTGGCCAAGCAGGTCGGCAGCTGCGGGGCTGGGTGTGGGCAGGTGGGGTGGCCAAAGACGCCCTGGAGGTCCTGGGGGTGCAGTGGGGTGCTGCAACCCCCTCCTTAGGACCCCCCCCTAAAAGCAGCCCGTGGGGAGCTGGGGGTGCTGCCTCCATCACTCGGTGTTGTGGTGGCACCGGCCATCCCAAGCGGGTTTCCTGCTGTCAGGCAGCACCCCAGGCACTGGGATGTGGGCAGGGCAGGGGAGGAAGCCGGCAACGTCACCACGCGTCACCCGGCATGGGGATGCCCTTACCGCAGCCGGATGCGGAGGGTGACTGCTGGGAACCAGGTGAGTGATGGCCGCAGAAGCAGAGATCTCTCAGCTCCCTATTCCAGGGCTGAGCCAGGAGTTGTGTCTTCCGTCCCATCCCCCCAGCCTGGCCTTGGAGCTGGGCACCATCACGGCCAAAAAAGGAGACCCTTTTTCTTCCCAGACTCTTGGTGACCTGATGTGCTGAGTTGTTTATCCTGCTCTTTCCTGGCAGCCTTAAGTGCTCCTGTGCCTGGACCGCGGCACCATGTCGGCAGGTGAGTGATCCATCTCCCTGCATGCATTCCAACTGCATCCGTCCCCTCTGTGTCCCCTGCATCCATTCCCTCTGCATTTCCCTGTCTCCCTTGCATCCTTTTCCTTGCATCAATCCCCCCTGGAATTAATCCCCTTTGGTCCTCCCTGCATCCACCCCCTCTGCATCCCCCTTCCCTCCCTACCTCTGCCCCCCCTGCATTTGTCCCCGTTACGTGCAGCCCCTGGTCCTCTTTGCATTCCCCCCCTCCACGTGCCCCTGTGTCCTTGCCTCCCTCCCTTCTGTCTGTCCCCCATGTCCCTCCAGCCCCCCCACATGCCCCACATCCCATTGGTCCCTGCCAGACACTTGGCTCCGTCCCCAGCTCTGGGGAGTGCTGAGTGCCAAGGAGTTGAAATTTCATCCAGCTGTAATCAGGAGATGGGAAAGTGGCCCCAGAGCAGCCCAACTTTATTTTTAGCTCTGCTTCCCCCTTCGGCATCACCCCCTGGCATCACCCCACACCACGGCTGGTGCACAGACCCCACAGGTGGTGAGAGCCCTGTGCCAGGGTGCTGGGCAGGGGACAGGCGCTCAGTGCCACTTGCACGTCGGCCACCAGTCCAGGGACTGATGCTGGGGTCCAGGGACTGCTGGGGTTGTGCCAGGTGCTCGAGGTGGCCGTGCCAAGCTGAGCCTGCCACGGCCCCAGTTAGCCCAGCGGGGTGAGAAGCCAGCCACAGGGATGGATGAGGCCAGTCCCTGCCTGCAGTGGAGCCATGGACAATGACCACCTCTGGGACACCACGTGGCACGGGAATTCCAGCCCCAGGCCAAGGTGCCATGGGGTCTTTGTGCTCAGACGTGGCCAGACATCCCAACCTGCCCAGGTGACCAGGACACACGTCTGCTTCCCTCTCCATCTTCCCCCCAGGACTCTCCTGGATCGGTCCCCTCTATCCCCAGGGATGCCTGCCCTGGATTTAGCACCCCCTGGGGACACCTCACTCCCTGATGGACCTTTTGGCTTTGGATAATTTGTTTTCCTTTCTTTTTTCCAGAAAAGCTCAAGCAGCACAAAATCATCTTTGTGGTGGGTAAGTCTGTGTCTGGGTCCTGTCACTGGTGGGGTCAGCCCAGGCCTTTTCCCTGTACCTCTAGGCTGGGCAAACAGGGCTGGAAGCTGAGACTGGGCTATTCCCAGGCACTGTGGGATGGCCGTGGCTCCAGCTTGGCTGCTCAAGTCCACGTGGGGTATGCTGGGACCAGGAGGGCACCTCTGGCCAGGCATGGGGTGGCAGCATTTGGGATGATGTGACAGTAAACCCCTGGGAGGGAATGTGACAAAACCCTGGGTGGTGATGCCCTGGGTGCCATCAGGGTGTGGTGCCCATATGCCAATTCCCAGCAGCCCATGCCACTCCCAAGCATTTGGGAAACCTCAAGAGGAGCTCTGTCCATCCACTTGGTGCTGGGCTTGGGGACACCAAGTGACGTGTCACTGAGCTCTGGGGGCTTGTGTGTGTCTGCGCTGCTGCTCCGTGTACCCCTCCCTCTCCTTACCCGTGGCTCGGTGTCAGAATCTGAGGTATTGATGATTCTGAAATTGTAGAAAGTCTCTGTCTTTCTGCCCCACTGCCAAAGAAGAAGCCATAATTGGTCTGTGCTGGTTTCCAGGTTGTTTATTCTGTTTATCTCCAACATGTTCTGCTGCCCTGCCCAGCTCTGTCCTGCAGGGCAGCGTGTGGGGCTCTGCCCTCAGTGGGATGTGACAAACATTAAATACCAGAAACTCCCTGGGCTGGATTTACAAGAACGTGCCAATAACTGTCACCCACGTTGGACAGTGTGTCCCCAGCCTGAACCAACAGAAAAATGCCAACACCACAGTGAGACATGGAGGGCATGAAGAAGGAGAAAAAGGACAAGGCACACCCAATTTCCTCCATCTTGTCCCCTTTGGACCCCTAATCTAGAATCCTAAAATTTTACTTTTGTACCCGTGCCACACTTAATTATTACTGATATCAAACACTCAGAGCTGGTAATTCATCCTGTAAGATTGAAAACTCTTTTCCATGGACAGAGATCACAGACAGTGTCTCTGGGGGCTCTGTCCAGGGGGGTTCCTGACCCCTGCCAGGGTCCCAGACCTGCCAGGGCAGCCAGAGGGAAGCCCTGGATTCCCACAGCTCAGGGCACACTCGTGCCTTGCAGGTGGCCCTGGCTCAGGGAAGGGGACACAGTGTGAGAAGATCGTGCAGAAGTATGGCTACACCCACCTCTCCACGGGGGACCTGCTGCGGGCAGAGGTCAGCTCGGGCTCGGAGCGGGGCAAGAAGCTGCAGGCCATCATGGAGAAGGGAGAGCTGGTGCCCCTGGTAAGTCCCTACCAGCACCAGCTGCCACATGGTGGGGTGTGGGGGTATCAGTGGGGCCACCACACTAATGGCTGGCACGTGGCTCAGGCATCTCTGGCCCTGCCGTCCCAGGGTGGGGTTTGCAGCGGGGACTGGGGATGCTGCCTGGGAGTCCTGTTGTCCCATACCAGCCGTGGCAGCTCTGTGCTCCCCACTGCAGGACACGGTGCTGGACATGCTGCGGGACGCCATGGTGGCCAAAGCAGACGTGTCCAAGGGCTTCCTGATCGACGGATACCCCCGCGAGGTGAAGCAGGGAGAGGAGTTTGAAAAGAAGGTGAGGAATGGTGCAGTGCTGTGCTATGCTGGGCCATGCCACACACCAGCTTAGCACAGGCACTCAATCCAGCAGCAGCCTGGGCTCCCCATCCCAGCAGAGATCACATCCCAGAAGGGTCCAAACTGGGCAGCAGGACCCCCTGCCTCGGGGACAGCCTGTGCCCAGAGCACAGTGGGAGGGACCAGGGTGTCCTCAGGCTGACAGAGCGTGTGACAACAGTGCTGACATGATGGTGATGGCAGAGAGCCAGGGTTTGGCTGCAGTGTCCCTTTGCCTTCCTCTGTGTGGCCCTGGAGGCCACTGGAACAGTGTCCTGGTGGCTCCCAGACCAAAGTGGTGGGAGGCAGGAGATGGTGTGGGAACATCCCTGTGTCCTGCTCGCCCCCAGACCCCTGTAGAGGGAGGCAGAGGGTGGTGTGGGGACATCTGTGACTGACCCTCATGCTGACCACCACAATCCTGCCAAAGCAAACCAGAGCCACGCCAACTCAGTGTGCTGACAGCCACGTCCCCTCTGTCCACAGATCGCGCCCCCCACGCTGCTGCTCTACGTGGATGCGGGGAAGGACACAATGGTGAAACGCCTGCTGAAGCGAGGAGAGACCAGCGGGAGGGTGGATGACAACGAGGAGACCATCAAGAAGCGTTTGGAGACCTACTACAAGGCCACTGAGCCTGTCATTGCCTTCTACCAGAGCAGAGGCATCGTCCGCCAGGTAAGCGGGAATGCGGCTGAGGCCAGCCCCACAGCTTGGGGCTTGTGTCCCAGGGGAGGGGAAGTGATGGATGGGGATGATGAGGGAAGCAGGAAAACTCAATCCTGCCTAGTTTGGGGTGGGCCTGACCCCTCTCATTCCCGACACAACCCCCTCCAAGGATGGCTCACTTCTTTGTGGTCTCTTCACCCATGGCCAAAATGCATCCTTGGGAGAGTTCCAGTTGCTCTCGAGAGAGAGCCCTTGGGCAAGTCCCCCAGCTAACCCCTCTGTACCCAGCTCAACGCCGAGGGCTCTGTGGAGGAGGTTTTCCAGCAGGTCTGCACCCACCTCGACTGCCTGTAACCAAACCCCCAGCCCCAAATCCCCCCGGTGCACTCCAGCAGAGACAGCGGAAGCGGCTTTATCCTGTTTTCGTGGACGGAGCCGTGCGGAGGAAATTTCAAGGACATTGTGTTTGGCTCTTTCCCGTCTCTCCCCAGTAAAGTTCACTTTAATGAATCCAGACTTTATCTTTTTCTTCTGTCGCAGGAAATGAGTTTTTCTTTCCAGCGTTTTGGTTTTTTTTTTTTTTTTCTCTCCCTCTCTGTCCTCCCCCCAGCCCCTCTGGAGCTGATTAAGGGCAGGAAGTGGGTGTTTATCCCGCCGGGGCAGCGGGATGCTGCGCTCAGAGGAAGGGAGGGAGCATCCCAGCCACTCGCCCCGGCTTCCCAATCCGTGGCCTGGAGGGAGCCTGCGCCTGCATCCTCCAGCCAGTCCTGGCTGCCCTCGTTCTGTCCCTATTGCTGAACCCCCTGGTGCTCTGGGTGTGTCCCCGGACACACAGGCAGCTTCTGAGTCGTGTCCTGCACATGCGTCTCAGCACTCCCACTGCCTGCCAGCGGCTGGAGGCGACCAGATTCGGGATGGGGATTTCCACCACTTTCATGCCTTGGCATTTCCTTGTTTCTGTTGGCTGTCAGGGTTTTTTGGGGTACGCAGTGGCTGCACGGTGATGGTTTGTGGTGGCACAATGCCCTGGAGTGGGGTGTTCCCTGTCCTGCTGTGCCCGGACTCTCACAGCCTGGACACTCACTGCTCAGCCCCGACCCCAGGGGATAAGGAATATGCTGGGGACATACAGACGAGCCCAGCCACCAGGCTGGGTGTCCTCCTGGCTGGGTGCCCTCATGGTGGTGAGTCACAGGACCCCAACAGACATTTGGGTGGGGGTGCTGGTGTGGGGGATGTGGGGGCTCCCCAGCACCCACAGAACCACACAGGCACAGCACCATAGCAGAGGGGCTGCAGTGGAGCTTGGGGGTGGTTTCTACCCAGCCACAGTGAGGGCAGGAGGTAGCACAGCTCCAACCCCAACAGGGCCCCCCACCACTTACTTTTGGGCTGCCGGGAGCTGGGCACGGAGCCAGGGCGCTGGGAGGGCAGGAGGGGCGGCAGCGTTGGGGTCAGCCAAGGCCACGAGGCCAAGGAGTCAGAGTGGAGAAAGGAAGCCAGCAGGGAAAAAACAAAACTCTCCGAGACGAAAACCCAAACTCACCAGTCAGCCCGACGTCAGCCCCGTGCTCCGGGGCCACGAGCCGCGGGCAGAGCCTGGGGCACTGAGGGAAGGCAGGCGGGCAGGAAGGATGCAGCCATCCGGCCGGGGCTGGGACACTGCCAGGACAGCGATCCAGGGCTGGGGCCGGCCAGTGATCGCCTCGTGCTGCTGGAGACGGGGGGCAGAGGGGTCGTGTGGTTTGGGACAGCACAGCCTAAAACTGGGGAGTGGGGAGACACATCTCTCTTGTGCCTCCAGCCCTCTGTGGGTGTGCTGTGAGTGTGCCTCAGTTTCTCCAGGGCAGGGAGTGGGACAGGGACCCTGCCCTGCTCCCCAGTACAGCCCTGAGTGCTTGGTGTTGAGGTTTAGATGCTCTTTGGTTTGAAATCTCAAGGCCATCCCATATGCTGTGCAGGGGAAGATGCTGGGCCAAATGGGTGCAGGGGGCTGCACATGTGGCCACCCCACCGCCACGGCCACCCTCTTGTCACACTGTGGCTGCCACCATCTCACTGTCCATCACTTGTTGTTGTCCTGTGGCGTCACCGCGGGGAGAAGGGTGCGAGGGACTCAGAGGATCCCGTGCCGGGTGCCAGTCCCCATCCCCGGGTGAGCACCCGTCCCCGCGGTCCCCAGGAGATGGCAGTGCTCTGTCATGGGAGATGGTTGCTGCTCACCCCGGCTCACCGACATCTCCGGGGACATCTGGATGCTGGGGACAGGCGTCGCTGACTTCCCTGGCACGTTTCCATTCTGTCCCCATGCCCGTGAACCATGAGTCAAGATGAAAACCAGCCCTGGTGTCAGGGTCTGAGGACCTGCACCCACCCCCGGTGTGAGGGTCCCAGCCCCACTGATAGCTGTGTGAGGGCTCTCATCTGGGCCAGCAGAGGTGTGGGGAGGAACGGGGCAGGAGTGCAGAAGGGGGTCCCTGGTGCCCCTTCGGCAGTGCCCAGCTGTGACACCCTTGCCCTCACCAAGGCCCCCTTGTCGCAAGGGATCTCCTGACCCCAAGCCCACCTGCCAGGTGGGGGTGTCCGGGCAGCCCCATCTGTGGCCTGGCCAAGGGTCAGGCAAGGCAGCAGTAATGCTAAGGGGCATCCGGGGCCATGGGGCGGCCACCAGCCTGACACATGTGACCTTGCATGGGTGCTGGATGGGAGCAGTAGGGGCTGAATGTCGGGGGCAGCCCCTTCCCCATCGGCTGGGCAGCTCCCCATCCCTATCACTGGCAGCACCCCGGGAATATTTGGGTGGATGGACACCACCAGAATCCCTGTGTCCAACCCCTCCACTCACTACTGCCAGCTCTGGGAGGCCCTGGGGGCCCTACCCCGGGTACCAGTGCCCTGCCCAGGGCGCTTCCAGCGCGCCCCTCCGGAGGTGCAGCCCCGCACGGCGCTGTAGGGAAACTGAGGCACGGCGCCTCCGGGGGAGGGGGGGTCCATCCTCTCCGCCCCCCCCGGCCCCGCCGGCCCGGCCCCAGCGCCGCCAGCGGCATTTCCTCCGCCGCGGACCCTCCTCCGAAGGGAGTCGGTTTCCTGCCGCTGCCGCCGCCCGCACTCGGCGCTGGCTCCCGGGGAGCGGCCGCAGGCGGACATGGGCCCCCGCTCCGTCCCGCTCCTGCCGCTGCTCCTGGCGCTGCTCGGCCGCCCGGGTGAGTGGGGACCGGGGGAACCGGGCACCGGGGATGAGACCCGCGGGATGCGACAGCGGGACGGGACCCCCGGGACGGGACAGGCGCCGCGGCGGGACCCGCCGGTGACTGCGGATCGGTGGCCGAAGGGGTCCCGGCTGTGCCCGCACAGGCAGAGATTGTCACCCCCGGGAACCCCCCGGGAGAGGAGGTTTTGGGGAGCAGCGTCCAGTGGAGAGGGATAAAGCCACCCCGATTCCCGGAACACACACAGCACAGCCCTGCCGCTCCCTGGGACCCCCGAAATCCCGGCTGCGTCACTGGGGCGTGGGAGGTGGTGAAGACGCCGTGACCGAGTCCTGGCCTAAACGGTGGCACACGGCGGGTCTGGGGTGGCTTTGGTCCCTGTCACCTCGGAGTATGGAGGGGTTGACCAGGAGATGGGGATGAGAAATGGGAGAAAACCCTTAAACCTCACATGGAATGTGGGGATGGAGCTGGGGGTGAGAGATGGGAAAAACCCTTTAAACCTCACATGGAATGTGGGGATGGAGCTGNTTAAACCTCACATGGAATGTGGGGATGGAGCTGGGGGTGAGAGATGGGAAAAACCCTTTAAACCTCACATGGAATGTGGGGATGGAGCTGAGGGCAAGAAATGGGAAAAACCCTTTAAACCTCACATGGAATGTGGGGATGGAGCTGGGGGTGAGAGATGGGAAAAAACCCTTAAAGCCGCAAATGGGAGTTGGGGGCTTAGACACCTCTGGAGCAGTCAGAGCCACCCTGAGATCCCTACAAAGCCACATAGGGAATTTCAGGGAGGGATGCCAGTGCTGATGGAGCTGGGGGACGGGGAGCTGGGGGACTTGGGGACATAGCCTGCTGGCAGGGGGAGGGAACAAGGGAACTGGGGAGGCAGCAGCCGCCCGGAGAGGCTGGGGCCAGCAGCACTCAGTGTCCCGGCTGGGTTGGTCCCTCCTGGTCACCTCGGGGGCCAGTGCTCATGGATGGTGCTGGGGTGGCCCCACTGCCAGGCTTGATACCCACTCTTACATCACAACCCTGACTGGTGGCTGTGCCTGTCCAGTGAGGCTGTGCCGTGGGGGCTGTGTCCCCTGTAGTTGTGCCATACAGTCTCCATCCTTGTAGATGCACAGTTAGTCCTGTGTCCTGTGTAACTGTGAGGCTCAGTGCCCATCCCATAGCTGTGCCACAGCCCCTGCCCTAGGGCAGTGCTGTGGTGTCCCTGTCCTATGCAGATGTGCAGTAAGGTCTGTGTCCTCTGTAGCTTTCTTGTACAGTCCCCATCCTATAACCATGCCATATGCTCCACATCCTGTGGTGCTGTGGCACAGAGGCCTTGTCCTCCCTGTGTATGATGTATAGTCCCTATACCACACAGCTGTGCTGTCTGGTCCTCATCCTACACAGCTGTGCAATGTCACCTGTGTCCTGTGTAGCGGTGCCATGTGTCCGTGACCTTTGTATTTGTCCCCTGTATGGCTGTGCCATACATTCCCTAACAGGGCTGTGCTATATGGGCTGAGTCCTACATAGCTGTGCCATATGGTCCCCATCCTGAATGTCTATTTCTATGGTCCCTGTGCTATTTGTCTGTGCTGTATGATCCCCATCCAACGTAGCTATGGCACACAATCCCTGTGCTGTGTAACGGAGCTGTACGGTCCCTATTGCATGTGTCTGTATGGTCCCTGTGCTGTGTCACCCTGCCACACAAACAGACCCTCTCTGTGGCCATACCACCCCTAGGGTATGCAGCTGTGCTATATGGACCCCATCCTGTGTGACCGTGCCATATTGTCACTGTCCTATGTAGCTGTGCCATGTGTTCCCATCCTGAGTGTCTGCACCTTATGGTCCATGCCCTGCGTGGCTGTGACACGTGGTGCCCATCCTCCCTACCTGTGCTACTCACCACATCCTGTTCAGTTGCTGCTTCTTCCTCACAGGAACCTCTGGGGCTGGGAGCCCACAGTGGGTGCAGTGCCATGGAATTGGGATGCCCGCAGTGGGCACAGTGCTCTGGGACTGGGCTGTCCATGGTGGCTGCAGTGGTGTGGGACTGGGGTGCTTTTGGTGGGTGCAGTGTCAAGGTGTCTCACAGACACAGCCAGCTTCCAGAGGTGGGGGACTTTGTGCCCCCTTGACAGGGTCCAGCACTGCTCCCCATGGGGTGCTGGGTCTCGCCTCCCATCTGTGAGGAGAGGCTTCTTGGCACCTGTCTGACTCAGAGAGTGGCAGGAATGATGTGGCTTATGTCAAGCCTAAAGCCTGGACCCATGCACACCATCATCTGCATCCCAG